TCAGCCCTGAAGGACCGTGTGAATCCTGAGTTTCGAATTGTTCATCGACTGGCCACCAAATATTTATGGCTATAACTAAATTTGACACGTTTTTTAAGCCCAATAAATTATTCATACATGTCAAGCTCTGTTCGATTTTTTCAGGACATGTGGCCGTTTTTAGTCGAAAACATTTTTTGTGGGAACACTTTTACGGTACGTATACAGTATAGACTGAACTCAATCAATGATCGTGACTTATTTTTGAAAATTGAATGTCAAATTTTACCAGACTGACTGACGTGGATTCACTGGTATCGTTATTTTTGGAATTAATCATTAACATTTCCTCGTTTCTCTGATCTGTTATCTATGCTTTTTCACGTAACTGTCTCAGTAAAATAATTTAAAATATTACATCTAGAACAAGCACCCAAAACGCGTAACAAGAGGCCACAGTTCAGTTGCTTTCACGATACAAGTGTCATACAACTATTAGATTTGAAGTGTCATTCAGAATTTAATACTAGTTAATATTAGTTGTATGTTCATGCTTTACTATCAAAACCACCATTTCGACCACTCATGTGCCAGTGATCAGTGTTTGGGCGAGCGGTCGGTGTTTCAATGAGCGAGCGAGCGAAGAAAAACGCGATTAAAATGTTGACGATTTCTGGTCGGACAAGACCGCATGGTCGGAAATTAAGCGATAAGCGGTCAATGTAAAAGCGGAAGGTTGGGCGAAATGTGTACTGTATGCCCAGACTGTATGACCATGTTTCTCTGACGAAGTCTAGGATGACAATAATGCTGACAATGGACGTTAGATAAACACGCATTGTTTGCGACGGGAAGTTATCACCCGTTATATCAGAATCGTCAACAACAGAGTATACAGATAAGATGTTATCATTTAAACCGTTCCAAAGATAAACATTATGCAAATATCCACGAAACGGCAGTTGTAGTCTTTTCTGCTAGTGTTTTAAAACACTAATTTAAGCAACGTTATTTCGCAATTTCGATCTTTTGTAAACCTGGGATGATGTATCAAGGTCTAAAGTAACCGTTTTATCAATTTTTGAAAAATCAAGAAAAAAGTGAAAATTTTCTCTTCTCGCTACCTTAAGGTCAGATTTTTTTGCTTATCAACTTACCAGCTAATATGATTGATGCACAAAGAATGACAAAAGTCCCAGAGAAAAATCCAAACCTAAATGTGGTCCACGGTGTTTGCTAGAAAATACAGAATAGAAAGTATAATGTATGTAAGTAATAATATATCATAGCTATAAGTTATTTTATGATTTAATATCATCTACAACATGAACAACATCTTTATTATGTATTTAAACAATAAACTATTGCTATTATATTATAATTTTAGTATTATTTCAGGAATAAAAAAAAAATAAAAAAATGTCCCAAATCAGAGAAACCAAATTAAACTACAATGAAGCCTTATAAACACTTCCATAGTAAAATAAGTATAAAAGTAAAACTATATTCAAATCATTTCTCAAAAGTTACTGATTTACTGGTAGTATTACTGTAAAATCTGTATTAGAAGCCATGGCTTCTATTAAAATAGTACAATGCAACAGAAGGGATGCAGCTTCTATTAGAGCATCTACATATGAGAAATTGTGAATGTTTGGATCTCAATTGTTCAAAAAGGTGGGTGCGGCTTCTAAAAGGGATGCGGCCATTATACAATTTTTACTCAAATATTTGCTATTCGTTGTTTAAGTCCTGAATAAGATTGCCATAGCTATGGTATATCCTGAATATTACACAGTTAGCATTTAGCACAAGAGGCCTTTTCACCAATGACAACAACATATTCAACATGTTGATATACTGGTATTATATACTGATGAATTACTCACCCTATCACCCAGTGGAGGTACTCTCAGTTTACGCATTGCTTTATGTCTATTACCGCCTTCTAGATCTGTTATATATAATTGCTGGAAACAAAGAATTCCAATTATTATACAATATTACTGCTGGGCTCTGAGCAACTTACTCATCAAAAGGTCCTAACCCTTTGAAGTACCACTGTCAAAATGACTGTGTACAGCCTGCTCCTCTCGACATGAAATGTTGATGAAATTGACAAACTTTTTTATCAAAAACTAAAAGCAATATCTGAAACTGTCTGTATGGTCTAAAATTTAGTTGACTACATGCATTTCACAAAATGTGGAAATATGTGCAATGAATTTTTAGGCAGGAGTTAATACAAATTGATTATAAATGCACTAAGTTAATAGTGTAAATGGCAACATCACTAACTAACAACTGTATAAACTCTAAAAATTTCGGCCACTTTTAAATGATTTTTTTTTGAAAAACTGTTGGGTTTTTAGAGTACAAAGTAGTGATAAATTTTCGGCCAGTTGAATTTTTTAAGGGAAAAATTCAACAAATATAAAAGTTGGGTTATATACAGTTGCAGAAATAGAATAGTTATAGAAAGTCACGTCTTTAAACAAATATTTTGAGTAAAAATAAGTGAGCAATTTTTGTAGAGGTCAAAATTTTGGAGGTCAATAAATTACAACAAGCAGCCTATCGGCTGAGATAGCTCCGCTGTTAGCAATGCACATTTCAATTAAAGAACTGAAGACATCATTAGAAAATGAACAATATGAATAGTATCAAAGCAATCGGACTTACAGTTTTTAACAAGAAGTCGAAAATATCACTTTTTACCAAAAATTACAAAAATATTCACCAAAATAAATTAATTAGAGAATTGAAGATATCATCACAAAACGAACAAATCTGAGAGAGGTCCACATGTAGTACCTATATATGTAATATCAAAGCAATCGGACTTACAGTTTTCAACAAGAAGTCGAAAATATCAGTTTTTACCAAAAATGACAAAAATATTCACCAAAATTAAAGAATTAAAGATATCATTACAAAATGAACAAATCTGAGAGAGGTCCACATGTAGTACCTATATATGTAATATCAAAGCATTTGCACTTGCGGTTTTTAACAAGAAGTCGAAAATATCAGTTTTTACCAAAAAT